ACCTAGGCCCAAGGCAGAAGACCTCCTCTGGGAATGTGGAGGGAGGGACGTGCCAGGCAGATAAATCACCCAACTTCCAATCGGGACACATGTGGACTTTATAAGTGGAGAGGTATGTGTTTTGGGGGTGATGAATTGATCAGGAATCAGGAGCTTTAGGTGATGACAGTGGCCTACTCTCCCCTCCCCAACAAACCTCATAGATTTGTTGCAAGGTTCGTTCGTATAAGATGATCAATGAGAAAACCCTTTAAAAACTGCAACGTAATTTTCCAGTGTAACCCAATTAATAATAGCAATAATAAGGAAGTCCTGAGGTTTGGATGTTTAAACAGGGGCCGCTTGAAGCCAGAGATAAATTATTCTCTTTCAGGAATCAGAAAAGGCTGTACTGCCAATCGGTTTCTTCATAAACTTGTACAATGTCTGATGACAGATTTAAAACTTAGTGCCATATGGTGATCTCGTCGTGTTTTCATATGTTGTACGCACAGATGGCTGGAAAATAAAACCACCCGCCTCGCACTTCGGCTGGTCTCCCCAGCACCTTCTGGGCCAGAAGGGAGGTGATTGAAGCATCAACATGCCCAGTCCCCCTCACAGACTCGGGCTCACTTGTCTCGGGCAGAAAGCCGCCAGGCAGCGCCCGAGGACAGTTGCCTGCCTGGGACTCTTTGCTGTTCCCTGCGGAGGAAGAAGGACATTGAGGCTGTGTGTCTGGCAGCTGGGGGATCACAATGACATTACGTACCAATGTCAGGAATCAAGGGGGAATTCTTAGCCAGTGAATGATAATCTACATCTCATCCGTTTTCAGTTTGCCAGTCAGTCAACAAGTGGGTGTGTAGAGCCCAGAATGCATAGCATGGCATTTAGTTTCCAAATTGTCACATCTCTGTAGCATCTGAAAGGAGAGAGTGGGTTTCCACAGCTCATGCTCTCAGACGTAATTTGAGGGCGAGGATGAATTGCTGGTCCAGTGTTTTGATTGGAAACCGGCTGATGTATCTGCCTGTCACGTCCCTCCACGTTCCCAGAGGAGGTCTTCTGCTTTGGGCCTGGGTGCTGTCACTTGGATTTTTTTACTCTGAAGTGTTTGCTTGAATTTGATCCCCAACCTGTAATCATGGTGGGTTATTACACTTGCTAAACAAAATTAAATGTTATGTTTCTCACTTCTTGGAAATAAACTGTTGAATCTACTCCAGAGAAACCATGGCACTCTCTGAAAATAGCTGCTTTTTGAGAAGCAGTAACCATGGTTGCTGTCAATTAGAAGCTGAATTGGTTTCCGATACAAAGTTTTGTCTTATGATGAAAGGGTGAGAAATGGATTGTTCTTAGGAAATCGGCTGATTCTTTCATAGTAACAGCTGTGCTACTTCTCTCTCCATTCGGAAGTCAGACACCAAAGTCTTCTCTTCTACCCACAAAGCCTCTTAACTCTACTCGATCTCGCTTCCTGTGTTGGAGGAAGACCTGTACCACTCATTGCCTGTTCTTTTTTTCCTTCTTAAAGTATTTTAAAATTGTACACAAAATTCCATATTCTCCCTTAAAAAAAAAAAAGAAACATGACAGAGATAAGGCTGCAGTCCCCTTTGGCCACGCCCTTGGGCAGTAATCCCTGGTCTTTCCCAGTGTATCGCTCCAGAGCCTTGTCTGTACATTGTCACATGCAGCTGTGTTCTCTCCTGTGTCCCTTCTCTTAGTCTGCTTGCCATCCATCCTGCCTGACAGCCATGATTCTGGGGGGAGGCACTTGTTCTTGTTAATTTTGGGGAAGAATATGAACTATTAAGAAGCTTTAAGATTTCTCTAACTTTATTTTCATAGACAGCTTGGGTACTATGTGAGCTAAAACATCTTTTTATGTAAATTTCATCTGACAACAAAAATAGAAATGAATAAGTATATTATGTAAACCCAGACAGGTTATTTTGTGACTGTCTTCTGTATTGACTTTATTTAAAAATAGGGACAGTACCTAACAGAATGTTAATAGGCAGAAACATTGAACGGGTGCCATTTTGGCAGTTCCAACAGAGAAAGCAAGTGGTGGTTAAGTTTTCCTCTTTCTCGTGGGATGGTTACACAAGAGTTATGTTATTCTGCCAGCGAGGCAGCCCGAGGAGAATTAAAGCACAGCTGGAAGCTGCACTCCTGCGTTGTCCATGGAAGTACTGAAGAACTTTCTAGTAATCCAGCACATATACCCCACTTGGGATCCTTTTTTTTTTAGCTCTTGAAAGTTAAAAAGAAAAGGAGAAAAAACTATGAAAATTATAAATAGAAGGGAATGTTTTTCATCTATGGATTAAGCAATACTCAAGAGAAAGCTATATCCCTAAAGGTTGTTTGTTTTAGTTGGGATTCTTAGCCAGTGAGATAATCTACATCTCATCCATTTTCAGTTTGCCAGTCAGTCAACAAGTGGGTGTGTAGAG